ACACACGGACCCTTTTACGCATACACAGAATGTTGCAAACAGACCCTTTTACACACAAACGCTTTTACACACAAACACTTTTACATACATACGCTTTGACACACAGAGGCTTTTACACACAGAGGCTTTTACACAGAGACCCTTTTACACACAGAAGCTTTGACACACACAGACCCTTGTACACACAGATATATCTACAGAGAAACGCTTTTACACAGAGACGCTTTTACATAGAAACATCTTCACACAGAGACGTTGCGGCATGTTTTTTTTACCTTCATTTGTAAAGCCGAAAAATGGTCAAATAGTTGGTGTTTTCGTGTTTTTTGAACAGTCTCGGAGCAAAAAACTCCGAAAAAAAAAACGGTGTTTTTTGACGCCTCGCAAGCCCGGAGCCTTTTGGAGCCAGCTTGTGGGACTTTCGCGGCTTGCGGGCCGGCAACTAAAAGGGCCTTCTGGGATCAAGGGGAAACGGCCATTTTTAGCCAAATCCTGGCCGAAGCCTTTTGGAGCCAGCTTTTAAGACTTTCGCGGCTTGCGGGCCGGCAACGAAAAGTGCCTTCTGGGCTCAAGGGGAAACGGCCGTTTTAGGCCAAATCCTGGCCAGGAGCCTTTTGGAGCCACCGAAAGGCTTTTACACAGAGTCGTAGTAGCACACAGACTGTTGGACACACAAACATCTTGACACAGAAATGCTTTTACACGCAGATCTTTTTACACACAGACACTTTTAAACACGAACCTTTGTACACACGGACCCTTTTACGCATACACAGAATGTTGCAAACAGACCCTTTTACACACAGACGCTTTTACACACAAACACTTTTACATACATACGCTTTGACACACAGAGGCTTTTACACACAGAAGCTTTTACACAGAGACCCTTTTACACACAGAAGCTTTGACACACAGACCCTTGTACACACAGATATATCTACAGAGAAATGCTCTTACACAGAGATGCTTTTACATAGAAACATCTTCACACAGAGATGTTGCGGCATGTTTTTTTTACCTTCATTTGTAAAGCCGAAAAATGGTCAAATAGTTGGTGTTTTCGTGTTTTTTGAACAGTCTCGGAGCAAAAAACTCCGAAAAAAAAACAGTGTTTTTTGACGCCTCGCAAGCCCGGAGCCTTTTGCGGGCCGGCAACTAAAAGGGCCTTCTGGGATCAAGGGGAAACGGCCATTTTTAGCCAAATCCTGGCCGAAGCCTTTTGGAGCCAGCTTTTAAGACTTTCGCGGCTTGCGGGCCGGCAACGAAAAGTGCCTTCTGGGCTCAAGGGGAAACGGCCGTTTTAGGCCAAATCCTGGCCAGGAGCCTTTTGGAGCCAGATCCAGAGCAGAAACCTGTTGGAAGCAATTTTCTGCCATTTGGCGGCCATTCGGCCGGCTATTGCATTTCGCTTTTGGGAAGGAAAAAAAAAACGTGTTTTTTGACGCCTCGCAAGCCCAAAACCACGGTAGTTGCGGTGTTTTTTTGCTCCTGGAACCAAAAACCACGGTGTTTACAGTGTTTTATGGCCAGCACCTAGCAAAAACAGTGGTATTTACGCAGTTTTCAGCATGTTGCAAGACGTACTTTTGCCAGGCCAAACGCACAAAAACACCGTAAATTACAGTGTTTCGGCATTTGAAACCCGATGAAAACCGTCAAAGAACCACCAACAAGGTAAAGCCGAAAAATTGTCAAATAGGTGGTGTTTTCGTGTTTTTTGAACATTCTCGGAGCAAAAGACTCCGTAAAAACCGTGTTTTTTTGACGCCTCGCAAGCCCAAAACCACGGTATTTGCGGTGTTCAAATAGTTGGTGTTTTCGTGTTTTTTGAACAGTCTCGGAGCAAAAAAACTCCGAAAAAAAAAACGGTGTTTTTTGACGCCTCGCAAGCCCGGAGCCTTTTGGAGCCAGCTTGTGGGACTTTCGCGGCTTGCGGGCCGGCAACTAAAAGGGCCTTCTGGGATCAAGGGGAAACGGCCATTTTTAGCCAAATCCTGGCCGAAGCCTTTTGGAGCCAGCTTTTAAGACTTTCGCGGCTTGCGGGCCGGCAACGAAAAGTGCCTTCTGGGCTCAAGGGGAAACGGCCGTTTTAGGCCAAATCCTGGCCAGGAGCCTTTTGGAGCCACCGAAAGGCTTTTACACAGAGTCGTAGTAGCACACAGACTGTTGGACACACAAACATCTTGACACAGAAATGCTTTTACACGCAGATCTTTTTACACACAGACACTTTTAAACACAAACCTTTTTACACACGGACCCTTTTACGCATACACAGAATGTTGCAAACAGACCCTTTTACACACAGACGCTTTTACACACAAACACTTTTACATACATATGCTTTGACACACAGAGGCTTTTACACACAGAAGCTTTTACACAGAGACCCTTTTACACACAGAAGCTTTGACACACAGACCCTTGTACACACAGATATATCTACAGAGAAACGCTTTTACACAGAGACGCTTTTACATAGAAACATCTTCACACAGAGACGTTGCGGCATGTTTTTTTACCTTCATTTGTAAAGCCGAAAAATTGTCAAATAGTTGGTGTTTTCGTGTTTTTTGAACAGTCTCGGAGCAAAAAACTCCGAAAAAAAAAACGGTGTTTTTTGACGCCTCGCAAGCCCGGAGCCTTTTGGAGCCAGCTTGTGGGACTTTCGCGGCTTGCGGGCCGGCAACTAAAAGGGCCTTCTGGGATCAAGGGGAAACGGCCATTTTTAGCCAAATCCTGGCCGAAGCCTTTTGGAGCCAGCTTTTAAGACTTTCGCGGCTTGCGGAAACCTGTTGGAAGCAATTTTCTGCCATTTGGCGGCCATTCGGCCGGCTATTGCATTTCGCTTTTGGGAAGAAGAAAAAAAACGTGTTTTTTGACGCCTCGCAAGCCCAAAACCACGGTAGTTGCGGTGTTTTTTTGCTCCTGGAACCAAAAACCACGGTGTTTACAGTGTTTTATGGCCAGCACCTAGCAAAAACAGTGGTATTTACGCAGTTTTCAGCATGTTGCAAGACGTACTTTTGCCAGGCCAAACGCACAAAAACACCGTAAATTACAGTGCTTCGGCATTTGAAACCCGATGAAAACCGTCAAGAACCACCAACAAAGTAAAGCCGAAAAATTGTCAAATAGCTGGTGTTTTCGTGTTTTTTGAACATTCTCGGAGCAAAAAACTCCGTAAAAACCGTGTTTTTTTGACGCCTCGCAAGCCCAAAACCACGGTAGTTGCGGTGTTTTTTGCTCCTGGAACCAAAAACCACGGTATTTACAGTGTTTTATGGCCAGTACCTAGCAAAAACAGTGGTATTTACGCAGTTTTCAGCATGTTGCAAGACGTGCTTTTGCCAGGCCAAACGCACAAAAACACCGGAAATTACAGGGCTTCGGCGTTTGAAACCCGATGAAAACCGTCGAAAACCACCAACAAGTGTCCAAAATGGAGCATCTCGTTCGGGCCCAAAAAACCAGGCAAACGGCAGGTCGGTTTTTGAGCTCTCCCCAGCCAGGCTCCGGCCTCACCTTTCAAAAACGGACCGATTTCGGGCCTCCCCCCCCCCACACCCCCTAGATTAGCTTCGCTTCGCTTCGCTTATACCTATACTCAAGCCCAGGCCTTCGGCTGGCTTTCGTGATAATGTGATATGATATTTTTATCTATTTATCTATTGTTTATTTATTTAGTATTTATTTATTTATTTAATTTCAAAAAGTCAAAATAAATATGTCCTATATATTTATACATACCTATATATAAATAATACATCTATATATAAATATATATAATATATACACCTAAATTTATACCTATACAGTGAAGGCCTTTAGTCACATCAACTATTCTGGGGCAGCATAACTCCTATGCGGGGAAGTCGATGCGACCCCTTCACATCATTGTCACATCAACCATGCCAAATCGCTTGGGGGAAGGTTGTATTTTGATGGTTCTAAAACAGGAAAAATTAAAGAGTTGTGGTGCACCTAATTGACTGAAAACACCAAAATCGAACTTAATGCCCTGGCTGTATCATCTTATATCTGCATCGATATCCGTGCATAAGTTGTATGAATTCATGCGATTTGCCATTTGATTTACGCAATGTATATACTGCTCGTAGTTATTTTCGGCAGTCTGCAAGTCTCTAATCAATCAGAATCAAGCCATTCTTCACCAGTGACAAAGATCACATGGCACCGCTCCTTCTCCGGATTGTCAATGTCCAACTGGTGCAGAGTCTCCAGAATACCTGGGCAACAAGGCATACATTCAGGAAGCAAACTCTGTATAGGTAGGAGTCACATGGAGTCACTACCTCCTGTGTCACTACGTCCCGCTCTGTACAGAACGAAGGCTTGTACTGCTCTCGTTAAGATTCGGAAGCATCATCCAAGTGGGCCACCAGTTGCCAAGTTGCAGCTCATGTCTGGTAAATATCCCAAGGATTGAATCAATGTGGCGATCTCGCGGGCATCAAGTCCAGGTTCATCGTCAGTATCGCACTCCCTGCGCCGTGATTTTTATCTGGTTGATGCTGCATGTTGGTTTGGGTGTTGCTCCTGTTCTCCATGATTGTAAAAGAAGTCAAACATAGTCAAACAAGTTTCATGTGTCCACAGTTTCTTGGCACTGCGTGGCAGCCATAAAATCACAAAGCTTGAAGTCACTTAAGTATGCTGATTCTGGGTGGGGATTTGTCCAGTCCGTTCTTGAACAACCTATGGACCTCAATGTCGCAGACTTTGACACAAGGCCAAACCATTTCAGCAAAACTGCCGGTTGTGTGCCTGAAGTAGTTCCTGATATGCTCAGTGTCCCTCTCCCGAATTTTCCTCATGAAAACCTGAGAGATGTGAAAGCATATCATGTTCTATGATATCGTGTGGTGACCCATCGGGGGGGGCCCAGGAGTGGTGCAATTCCGCCATTCCTGTATAAGTATAAGTGCCTCCGACATCTCCGACGTATCCAACTAGCCACCAAAGTGGAAGCCAATCTCAGTGCTTCTCTTTGGATTCACGCACCGACTGCACAATGCAAAGGGCCAAGAAGCTAAGAAATCCTGCTTGGTCAGCTGATTTTTCTGTTGAATATCGACCTGCCCAGGTGAGATCAGGTGAGATCACCAGATTTGCCCAAAAAAAACTACAGTAATCAATCTGAACTCTGAACTGTGCATTTCTTTGGATAACTTTGGCACAGTGTCCAACCGTATCCATGGCCACCCCACATGTGTGAAGCTTGCGAGTGCCTCTGCCAAGATTTCCTCAAACTTCATCTCCCGCGAGTAGCCAAGGCTCACCAACACCCGGCCAATCTCCAAGGTGTCAAGAGAGCCTGAGCAAAGCTGCACACCCCTCAAGGCTTTGGCCAAACGACGGGCTGGATCTTCAGCAATCTGACACGGTGCCAGTGCCCAAGTAATTTCCGTAATTAACCAATTTTATAGTGCTTGACTCAGAAGCTGGTCACACGGTTACCTTTAAGAATTTCCATGTTGCAAGACACAGGACCACGGTCAGGAAAGCTAAAGTGATGTGCACATCGCGCACAAGGAGAAACAACAACCGCAAGCACACACCTCAGGCTTTGAGTGCCATCTCCCGCCAATGTACTTATGGAAAATTATGGAAAATGTATTTAAAAAAACACATCTGTATGTCTGTATGGTATCTATTTGCACCTTGACCTGTCTTATCATTGTCTTCCTCTATGCTTAATTACATTCCAAAGTCCGACTACATGGCTCAGCTGTGAAAGGTGCATGAGTGAATCCGCTCATGGGCTGTGCGACCAAGTATGCAAACAAAACATGTCTGGGTATTTGTTCCAACCTGAGGAGGGTGTAACGAAGGCCAGCATCTCCTTTAAATTTACCAGGTCAGTAAAGCATATCTGAGAACAACCAGGCCTAAGATTCCCAGGTATATCACAATATACCTCCGACTCTCACAATCGCCTCTCGTCTGCATCTCCTCTAGGTCTCATCTCCTACAAGCCTTGTTTAGACTCCAAGAGCCAGACTCCGATCTCTATTTTTTTTCTGTTCCTAAATGGCCTCTACGTCTCGTCGCCCACAAGTCTTGTTTACGACGCCAAGTGCCAAACTCCGATCTCCATTTTTATGTCTCTGCTAAAGGTTCCATGTGAAAAACTTGGGTTGCGCTGGTCAAATAATCTATTTCAACTAGCAACAAGCTGTGTTTCTTGAGATCTTGCGGCTTTGCTTGTTTTGACTACAATGCCAGAGAGCGTTTGTTAGTTTTGCCTGCTACCTTGAACATGGCAGATTGGAGAGATGAAGGCTCTGCCTTTACATGTAGCTTCAGAGGCAGCTGGAGACAAGCTGGTTCTCGTACTGTATCTGTTTTGAAGGGATCTTTCTATCGTTGCAGCTTTAAAGCAGAACCAGCCTCCATAGTACAGACCCCACGAAGTCAGTACCCCAATGCCAAAGGCCACTGTTTTTTGTTGGGCTACATGCAGTTGGTGGGGTGCAAGTTGCACAGTGGACTAAAGTTCCGTGTGAAAAACTTGGTTTACGACCCCCAAGAGTTTAGACTCCAAGAGCCAGACTCAGACTCCGATCTCTATTTTTTTCTGTTTCTAAATGGCCTCTACGTCTCATCTCCCACAAGATCTCTTAATGGCCTCTCGTTTTGCTGTTTCTCACTGGCCTCTACATCTCATCTCCGACAAGCCTTGTTTACGATCCCCAAGAGCCAGACCAGGGGGGAATCGATACCCCACCGTCACTGAATTGCGACACGGTACATCACCCTCAAAACGTACCCATTTGGCGCTCATTTGCCCACCTAAAACAGCACCTAATTTCGTGTTTTCTGACCACTTTTGCACGACCTGCCCCAGACCCCTTGGACTCACTTCGTTCGTAGTAATACAGTAACTTCAGCCTAGCTTGCCGGCTGGCTTTCGTAACATGTCAGAAACATCGAATCTACAGCCTCCAATTATTCTGGCACCCTATCTTTGCAATCCAGTGATTGCAATCCAGCTGAGCAACCACTGCCATCACCGTCGCATTTGTCGAAGACATCTTCAAAAAATGCGCGCTCCTGCTCTGCTTTTGATCAGTCAACACAGCCGTGCAGCAACTTTCAGCCACAGTGCTCACGGTGATCTGCGCATTCATTCTTATAATATTATATATGGATAAGTCATCGGATAATAGTACCGGAGAGTATCCCGATCATATCCCCATCATTATTCCATGACACACCAATTATAGACAATTATATCATAGTGTATCCCATTTATTGACGGTAAATCCCATTTATAGATGGTACATCCCATGCTTATGGAAAATTGTACAGTATCATATTAACTTCATATCCATTTATATCGATCCTCATTTATATAAGATCATTGAATGTTAGCTGGTAAATCATGGTAAATCCCATTCGACCCACCACGGCCTCGCGAGTGAAGCCTTCCCTTTCTCTGAGGATCTCCAGGACGCGCTGAAAGGCGTTAAAATCCAAGCCATCCACCAAGCTGCCATCACAAGCCTCCTTAGCGAAACATCATCATCCTAAGGGAAAGATCAACATGAAAAAACAAACTTATATATAGAATTACATAGACACTTGACAATAGCTGAACTTTAATAAACATAATAAACTACCAGTTCACACCAGTTCACTGTTAAAAGATGTTTGCTGCAACCCCCTGGTTTGCCCACCAGTCCTGCCGATGTTTGCATCCTGAAGACTCCCTGCAGGACCCTTTAAAGCCTGAAACCTCCAGACCAAAAAATCCCAGAGAACAACATAGAACAACAGAACGCGGTGTCTTCCCGGTGAATAAGCTTGATAAGATATGATAAGATGTGGACATCCTTTCTTGAGTATTTCAAAGCATTTCTATCTAGTAAGGGTGATCCGGGGGCCCTCTGAGCGCGGCTCCATGGCAAGCTCATAGATGACATGCTGCAATGGAAAAATGCCCTGACAAGCGTCGCCGCCCCACTGAATTTTTGATAACTAAGCTTGAGTCACAAATTCTGTTTTCAGAAAACTCTAAAAAGAGGTTGGGAAACGCATGAAGCGGATTGCTGGATTTGCGTGGAATTAAGGCAAATATATAAGATTCAGCCATTCCATCAATCACCAATTCCGTCCATTCATGACGCTACGACTGCAGCTGACTTATCGAAAAGCGCCTGAGATTCGAAAAGTGCGCCGAGCTCCTCGAAATCGATGCTGCCGCTGCGGTCGGCATCGAAGGCAGTAAAGGCGTTCTGCAGCGTCGCAAATGTCGCGTGGAATGGTGGTTAAGGATCGCTCAATATAACGATAATAGGTGTGGAAATGTGTATGGTCACCGACAGAATTATGGGAAAAATAAAAAATAAAAAAAATACGGCAGCACCTGCCGTATCAGTTTTTTCTATACTTGAGTTTTCCCCACAAGGGCTAACAACCAAAAATGTTGTTTTTATGAATAACTTTTGGCAATGTTCAAATGTTTTTTTGTATAATTATGTCGAAAGCTGTCATTTGTTTCCATAATTCATTTTGCCTCTATATTTTGAGTAAACCCTGCCAAATTCCCTCAGAATTATAGTCCCCGACAGAATTAAAGAAAAAACGGAAAGATAATTATAGCACAAACTTATAGCACAAACATGCAAAAACCATGATTATAGAAAAAAAAATAACGCATCTGATCTCTTTTTGCTTCCTCTCCGTCAGCTGCCGTATTTTTCTATTTTTTTTGTGGTAATTCTGTTTGCAGCTGGTCACCGGCAGAATTATAGGAAAAAAAATGATAAAGAAATACGGCAGCACCCGCCGTATCAATTTTTTCTGTAATTGAGTTTTCCCCACAAGGGCTAACAACCAAAAATGATGCTTTGATCAATAACTTTTGGCAATTTCCAGGGTTTTTTTTACAATTCTGTCGGGGACTTTTGGTTGTTTCTATAATTCATTTTGCCTCTGTATTTTGAGTAAACCCTGCCAAATTCCCTCAGAATTATAGTCGCCGACAGAATTAAAGAAAAAAACGGAAAGATAATTATAGCACAAACTTATAGCACAAATTTATAGCACAAACATGCAAAAACCATGATTATAGAAAAACAAGTTAACGCATCTGATCTCTTTTTGCGTTTTTCTCCGTCAGCTGCCGTATTTTTCTATCATTTTTTTCTATGGTTCTGTCGGCAGCTGTGTATATATATGACCCAGGACTCCCAAGCCCCCCCCCCCCATGGTCCCCCCCCACCCCTGTGGCCTGGGATGGTGGTATGGTTCTTCTGGTCCCCCCCCCCTCTGGCCTGTGGTGGTGGTATGGTTCTTCTGGTCCACCCCCCCCCTATGGCCTGTGGTGGTGGTATGTTGGTATGTTGGTATGTTGGTATGTTGGTATGCTGGTATGTTGGCATGTTGGCATGTTGGTATGTTGGTATGTTGGTATGTATTTTGGTATGTATTTTGGTATGTATGTTGGTATGTATGTTGGTATGTATTTTGGTATGCATGTTGGTATGCATTTTGGTATGTATGTTGGTATGTATTTTGGTATGTATGTTGGTATGTATTTTGGTATGTATGTTGGTTGGTTGGTAGGTAGGTATGTATGTATGTACGTATGTATGTACGTATGTATGTATGTACGTATGTATGTATGTATGTATGTACGTGTGTACGTAGGTACGTAGGTACGTAGGTACGTAGGTATGTAGGTATGTAGGTAGGTACGTAGGTAGATAGGTATGTATGTCTGTGTATGTATGTATGTATGTATGTATGTATGTGTGTATGTATGTATGTATGTATGTATGTATGTATGTATGGATGTATGGATGTATGGATGTATGGATGTATGGATGTATGGATGGATGGATGGATGCATCCGGATGGATGGATGGATGGATGGATGGATGCATCCGGATGGATGGATGGATGGATGGATGCACGCATGGATGGATGCACGCATGCATGCATGCATGCATGCATGTATGTATGTATGGTCCCGTGTCCCGTGTTCCCGAGAGCGTGAGCTTGGGGGACCATACCATTGGGGGGGGGGCAGGGATCGGGAGTCCGGACTCATATATATATATATTATATATATTATATATATATTATATATATTATATATATATTATATATACGCGCAACGCCTGGGTTTTGCCCAGGCCTTGCAGCGTAGAGGTTTCCCATTCACAAACAAATGATGTTGCAAATTACCGTAATTCCTATGGGGAAAACAACAAAGGTACTAGGGACTATTAAACAAACAAGGTCAAAACACCCAAAATTCCTATGGGAAAAACAAAAACAGCATAACATTTGAAATTCCTATGGGAAAAAAACAAAAGTACTAGGAAATTTTAAACTCTCAAATCGTGAAACTTAACATTCAATTAGGAAGATCAACAAAGATATTAGGGAATATTAAACTCCCACCCTCGTTAAACCTTAAATTCCTATGGGGAAAACAACAAAGGTACTAGGGACTATATAAAAAATGTCAAAACACCCGAAATTCCTATGGGAAAAACAAAACGGTATTAGGGAATATTAAACTCCCACCCCTGTTAAACTTTACATTCAATTGGAAGATCAACAAAGATATTAAGGAATATTAAACTCCCACCCCCGTTAAACTTCTACATTCATTGAAGATCTTCAATAAGGGTTTAATTCTCCCACCCCCGTTAAGCTTCTACATTCATTGAAGATCTTCAATAAGGGTTTAATTCTCCCACCCCTTTTAAACTTCTACATTCATTGAAGATCTTCAATAAGGGTCTAATTCTCCCACCCCCGTTAAACTTCTACATTCATTGAAAATCTCCAATAAGGGTTTAATTCTCCCACCCCCGTGAAACTTCTACATTCATTGAAGATCTTCAATAAGGGTTTAATTCTCCCACCCCGGTTAAACTTCTACATTCATTGAAGATCGTCAATAAGGGTTTAATTCTCCCACCCCCGTTAAACTTCTACATTCATTGAAGATCTTCGATGGGGGTTTAATTCTCCCACCCCCGTTAAACTTCTACATTCATTGAAGATCTTCGATGAGGGTTTAATTCTCCCACACCCGTTAAACTTCTACATTCATTGAAGATCTCCAATAAGGGTTTAATTCTCCCACCCCCGTTAAACTTCTACATGACATTCATTGAAGATCTTCAATAAGGGTCTAATTCTCCCACCCCCGTTAAACTTCTACATTCATTGAAAATCTCCAATAAGGGTTTAATTCTCCCACCCCCGTGAAACTTCTACATTCATTGAAGATCTTCAATAAGGGTTTAATTCTCCCACCCCCGTGAAACTTCTACATTCATTGAAGATCTTCAATAAGGGTTTAATTCTCCCACCCCCGTTAAACTTCTACATTCATTGAAGATTTTCGATAAGGGTTTAATTCTCCCACCCCCGTTAAACTTCTACATTCATTGAAAATCTCCAATAAGGGTTTAATTCTCCCACCCCCGTTAAACTTCTACATTCATTGAAGATCTTCAATCAGGGTCTAATTCTCCCACCCCCGTTAAACTTCTACATTCATTGAAGATCTTCGATGAGGGTTTAATTCTCCCACCCCCGTTAAACTTCTACATTCATTGAAGATCTCCAATAAGGGTTTAATTCTCCCACCCCCGTTAAACTTCTACATTCATTGAAGATCGTCAATAAGGGTTTGATGATGATGTTGATGATGATGATGAGGATGATTATGTTGATGATCATGATGTTGATGATGATGATGACGATGATGATGATGATGATGATGATGCGTCGCCCGTCGTCATTGCGGGTCCGGGCAAAACCCAGGCATTTGCCGTATATATATATATGTGTGTGTGTATGTATGTATGTAGGCACATACACATGGTAGTATATATATACACAGATACACATTACATTACATATCCGTTCTTATATTATACGCATATATATATATACACTAACATACACATGTATGTATAATATTATGTGTATATATATATATACAATTAATATATATATATATATATATGTATGTATGTATGTGTGTGTACCTATTTATATATATACATACTTATATGTGTCCACTCTCCTGTTCTTGATATATACGTATGTGGGCCACGGTCAATATTCGGTATATACTAGTAGCTCCAAGTCATCAATTGTTGAAGAGTGCATTATCGTTTTCCAAGCCCCAGCTCAATTTCTCAAAAAATAAAGGTGTCTCGAATACTAATTACTCTCCATTAACCTACAGTAAATTTTGGATGTATATAGCTAATATGTAAACTTTGAGCTCTTGACCTGGCGCCTTTTCTTGTCCCAGCCAAATAGAAAATTACTTTACTTCGTGTGATCCCCACCGTGACATTTTTACATGTTCTTACTGGCAAATCTTCTGGCATTCTATCTGACATATCTTCTGGCATTCTATCTGGCAAATCTTCTGGCATTCTATCTGGCATATCTTCTGGCATTCTATCTGACATATCTTCTGGCATTCTATCTGGCATATCTTCTGGCATATATTCTGACATATCTTCTGGCATTCTATCTGGCATATCTTCTGGTATATCTTCTGGTATATCTTCTGGCATATCTTCTGGCATATCTTCTGGCATTCTATCTGGAATATCTTCTGGCATATCTTCTGGCATATTATCTGGCAAATCTTCTGGGATTCTATCTGGCATATCTTCTGGCATATGTTCTGGCATATCTTCTGGCATTCTATCTGGCATATCTTCTGGCATATTATCTGGCAAATCTTCTGGGATTCTATCTGGCATATCTTGTGTCATTCTATCTGACATTTTATCTGGCATACTTTCTGGCATTCTATCTGGCATATCTCATGGCATTTTATCTGGCATATCTTCTGGCATTCTATCTGACATTCCATCTGGCATATCTTCTGGCATTCTATCTGGCATATCTCATGAGGTCCGGCAGGGAACACTTGGCATGGATACTCGCGGTTGAGGTCCGGCAGGGAACACTGGGCGTGGATGGCCGTGGTTGAGGTCCGGCAGGGACCACTGGGCGTGGATGGCCGTGGTTGAGGTCCGGCAGGGAACACTGGGCGTGGATGGTCGTGGTTGAGGTCCGGCAGCGAACACTGTGGATCGCGAGTCGCAGTTGAGCAGGAGGACGAGGAGGACAACGAGGACGATGAGGACAACGAGAGGACGACAAGGACGACAAGGATGACAAGGAGGACGAAGAGGACGAGGAGGAGAGGAGGAGGAGGAGAGGAGGACGAGAGGAGGACGAGGCAGGAGGAGGAGGAGGCAACTGACATAAAATCTAACAACCCTCACCTGGCAGGTGGGGAAATATTCGAAAATGCTTATTGCTTTCTGAGGCTCTTTGGCTCGCTGCTTCTCGAGCTGCCGGAATTTTGCAAAAAATGTCATAAACTCGTTTTGATTCATCGTGTTGTACCTTAGGATGCCAGAATCGCCACAATTTTAACCGTCTCCACCTGGACATGCCTTGCTACGTAGCTTGTATCTTGCAATTCTGCTTTATCTATCTTGATCTGCGCAAGTTCAGGAATGCCTTGGACCTGCTGCATTGCAACAGTATCGTACGTTGTGATTGGCATGGCTCTGACGATCTCTGACGGCTTTCAGGTGTTTAAGGGGTTGTGGTCTTGGAAGGATTTGCTGAGCTCCAACTCTTGCCAAGGAACTGGAAAAGGCTGTTGTAAGCCTCATCTACGAGACGCCGAATTTCCTGAATTGGCGCTGCCAGAGACCGAAGTCATGCCGAAGAACAGTTGTGGCAACATGTTGTGAATCAGATCTTTCAAAACAAAGCGGAGGACTCTTTGTTCGCACGAGCACATTGCAGTTGAGTGGCCTTGGTCATAGCCCAGCCCACGAGGCCTAATGCTTGAGGCAAAACATCTCGGTGCAGCTCCTTCGCATCTGCCAGACGGTTGAAGGCATCCACCAAACGGGCTCGTAGAATGGACTCCGAGGTGGCCATCTCCTCTCTGCTGGGGGAAAAAGTGACACCAACGGGCTGCTCCATGATCCAAGGGTGAAATTATCAATCGGACACTTCACAGGACATGTGTCACATGTGTGGGCAAACCACTCCAAAAAGGCATTCCAAGAGCCTCGCACTCAACCACTCCGTGTAATTATGAACATTCGATATTTGGCCCTTTGAAAGCTGAAGCCAAGGATCTTTCAAGGTATAACTCCGCCCTGGCCAGGAGGCGAAACAAAGTGTACCTTTACTTCCTGACATTCCTTGGGACCTTTGATGCTTCCAGTGGTGCTGAAGCCCGGTCTTGGTTGTCAGTCACTGCACGAACTCAAGCAGCTCAAGGCTTCTCGACTTCTGTCAAGACACAATTGAGCCCAAGCAAGCTCCAAAATCATCCAATTTCTACGGTTCGGGGGCAGGGCATCTGCAAGAATGGAACCTCTCCTGCCTCCACGGCTACTCACTCCACTGACTTCACCTGCGCAGCACGCATGTTGTGGGTTGCTGTCGGTTGCAGTCAGGATCGCATTTGGCGTGGAAAATTGGATACATCGTGCAGTAGCAGTAGTACCAGGATGAGTGGGATGCATTGCTCTTAGCAGCTGCTTCATACTTCATCTCAACACCCAGGGAGCAAGGATGTGCCAGCACGGCAGTTCGCATTGCCTGTTGTCATGCCTCTCCGGGACCTCAGTGTGTTGCTTTCCCGTGAGGTCCTAGAGTCCTGAGTCCTGGAGTCTTTCAAAGGACTCAAAGTTTGAGCTGAGCATAGCTGAGCATTTCCGGGCAGCGGACATGGTTGACTTCATCAAGGCGTTTGGCTCGGAGCTTGTGCCTGTTGGACCTGTCGGCCCAATGTTGGCAATTTCATGCAACTTCAAAATCCTCAAACGGTTGTTGGATCGAGGCAGATGGAGAGATCTCTGGAATATAGTGCCCTATCCTTGACAAGCTCAAGCACAAAAAATGACATCTGCATCAATGGTCGCAAGTCCATGAGCAACAGAGCTTTGCCTTGCTCGCCATCCTGCAGCGATACCCCAGTTGAATCAGGAGTGAGATCGGTAACAAGATCCACAGCCCTCGTGAGTGCAATCTTGCAAACAAGTGCAGTTGCTCTTCCGCAATGTGCACATCCATGCACATCAATGCAAATCAAAAAGTGCCATGATTCCTTCTTTCCCATCACATCACAAATGGAGCTTTGACTAGCGTCCGCCACATGCAAGACCTGGCATCTTAGGAGTCCGTTCACCCAGGACCATTGAATCTTGATCCCTGAAAGGTCCTCAACGCGCCCTAAACTATCGAAGCTCACTCCTGGACAAGTCGACAATGAATCAAGAAACAACCACACTGTGACAACACGATGGTGCTTGAGAAAATACTGGCCAACATTTTACTGTTGCCCTGCTGAGACTGATAGTTGAAAAGAGGGAAGGGTGCATAGCTCAAAATCACTCAAAATCCAGAGACAGCAACACAAGGACAAAGATATGACAATATTAATGTGTGAATCTTAGTTTCTTGGAATTCGACCGGCAATCGACTGGTGCAGAACCTCTACAGTACGGGGAGTGTAGTTGAGGTTTTCTGCTTACATCTTCTACTCTGCCAAGGACTCTCTCTCTCTCTCTTTCTCTCTGTGTCGCTGGCTCTCTCTCTCTCTCTCCCTCTCTCTCCCTCTCTCTCCCTCTCTCTCCCTCTCTCTCCCTCTCTCTCTCTCTCTCTCTCTCTGTGTGTGTGTCTGTGTCTGTGTCTGTGTCTGTAAGGACTCTTTTGGATTGTTTTGAGGAATCCTGCGCCTTCAACACCCATTGGGCAAATTTCTGCTAGCAGCTCGCAGCTCGATGCAGCTGCCACAGCACACACCCCTCCTTCTCGCAAGTGTCGAGAGTAGCCTTTCCGCATAGCAGATTTTGCCTCAGAATGCAGAAGCCGTTGTCTACAAGAGATGACTGGGTAATCCAGGCAATCTGAATTGATAATCGTAAAAACATGCCTCAAGACTTGAAACATTTTATTAGCCTTCTGCATGAGCAGTGGCAAAACATGGCAAGACATTGCAAAACATTGTAATCATCGCATTGACATGAAGTGATCAATTTTGATAGATGATATAGATGATATAAGTTATAGAATGATATAAGTTATTGATATATACATCATAATTTATCATAATCCTGATAAACAGATATAAAAAAATGTACCGATGCCAAACGAGTGCCTTTAGCCGTTGCCCATGCCGTTGCCGAGCCACGGATGTCATAGAGACACTGGTCACCGGTGAGAGCAAACTGACGGATGTCGTTGGAGAGATCGGAGAGATCGGAAAGGTCGGAGAGGGACTAGAGGAAGATGAACTGGGCCTACCTTGGGCACTTCATACCAAATAGCTGCAGATAGCTACAGTGACCATAGGTGCAGTGCAAACGTAACAGCATGCAACATGCGAAATGATGCAACATCATGCAAGGCTTACAAGGGAAAGCTTGTTCCTTTGAGCCTGGGGTCCAAGGCTGTTTTTTTTGGATTTGTTTGGGGCTAGTGAAGCTGCTAGTGTGACATGACTTCAGTGACATGCTGCTTGTCTCATCAACCTCCAAGTGCGTTTCCAATGCGCTGCACGAAGCCTGCGCAATGCACAACGGTATCCAAAGGCAAGGATGTTTCCCCCAACACAAAGCTGCAATATGGTCCAATGACCCAGATTAGAGAACCCAGTTTGCTTGGCAAACAATTTCAGTAGCTCCCAAGGTCCAAAAGTCCTCCCGCGCCAGCTTGACCCTGATGCTATCTGATGGACGTCGACGGACAGGTTGGCTTCCGAACCTCAGGCTCCATGTCGCAATCGCGCCTGTTAATAGTGATCAAACCAACATTAGAGGAGCTCTTTGCGCAAAAAAAACACGAATCTACTGTGACAACATCCAAGTGGATCAAGTGGTATCAAGTGACTTAGAAAGTTTGGTAATTATGGTGTAGTGAAGGTGTAGTCAAGGCACACCTCATCCACGGTTCTAGGAGCGGGCTCTTTGAACAGCTGCCATTTGCTGCCCAAAGACGACCTGCGCCAACTCGTGACATGCCACGACACATGGGCTACGCATGGGTTACGCCGCTACGCAACCGTGCCTCCTCAACATGTGGCTGAGGTCGGCACCTGCAAAAAAATCGGCCAGGGGGGGTAAAATCCTTACACTGTGGACACACAAACATAGGTCATACATCCCCTCAACTACTAGCTAGGGACTATAGGTAATTTCAGATTAGACCTTTTTACCCGGGTCTAATTGAAAGTTCCCTATGCAAATCGACCTATTTTGCACCAACCATCTCAGACCTACCATAGGGATCCAGCAGAGATCATCAACATGCTGATGTTGTATGTTTCCGGAAACGGGAAACTTCACATTAGACCCTTGGGTGCTGGTTGTCAGCAACAACAGCCCCGGCAACAGCAACGGCAACAAGTTTCTCTTCTTCCTTCACGTGCTTAGCACATCTTAGCACTGTGAACTTCTATGTTTTTTCGTCAAATAGCTTCAGGTGAGCTACTTTCCTTTGCGTGAACTTACTCCACTTACTCCTGCAAACAAGTCAGAATGATTTTGAATTTTGGGGAATGTTTAGGTATAATTTCAAATGTTCAGGACTTAAGGCTCCTTTTTGGACAAGGCTCTATGAGTAGCCCTGCTTCTGAGTAGCCCAGGGGTCTCACATGAATATCCAGGGTCTATTGTGGTTTTCTGTGTGTTTTTCCCCTGGGAAATTCAAATCCAAAGATAGGCAATTTCACCTTAGACCCCCAGGGTTGGCCAGGAAGACCATGACAAGTTCAGCGGAACAGAAGTTTGTTTTGGTGATGAAGTTTTTGGGTCGTTGCCATTGAAACAATAATGTTAGATGTATACATGTTCTATTGCTTAACGTTGTGGTTTGGTTCAACAGTTGCTAATCATGTCCTTTGTATCCAGGGTCTATTGTGGTTTGCTGTGTGTTTTTCCCCTGGGAAATTCAAATCCAAAGATAGGCAATTTCACCTTAGACCCCCAGGGTTGGCCAGGAGGACCATGACAAGCTCAGCGGAACAGAAGTTTGTTTTGGTGATGAAGTTTTTGGGTCGTTGCCATTGAAACAATACTGTTAGATGTATATACATGTTCTATTGCTTAACGTTGTGGTTTGGTTCAACAGTTTCTAATCATGTCCTTTGTATCCAGGGTCTATTGTGGTTTGCTGTGTGTTTTTCCCCTGGGAAACTCAAATCCAAAGATAGGCAATTTCACCTTAGACCCCCAGGGTTGGCCAGGAGGACCATGACAAGCTCAGCCATTGAAACAATCATGAAGCACATTGCACATGTACAATTTCTAAAGACATTTTTTTACAATCAGTCCGATTATCATAATTTGACTTACGTAAAGGTTTTTTCACAGATGATATATGCTAGTGTCATTTGGCCTTTTTGTTGGAACGCAGACATGTCATGTCAGATTTCAGTTTGCAAGAGTAAGTGGTGGTTGAGGGGTGGTGGTTCACTTTCCGGGTGGTGAGCTACTTTCCCAGGAGTATACAAGTTAGATCCCTTCAGGGGTGGTGGTTCATCCCATCAAAGTTCGTCTCATCAAAGTTGATCAAAACCAGCAAAGGGTCTAAGATGAAGTTCTCTACGAGTTAGGCAAAAGGTCTAAAGTGAAGTTCTCACTTTCCAGCATGTACATGTTGAGGGTCTGAGGTGGTAGCTGGCCAGGGTCTAATCTGATAGAAAAACCAGTTTAGACCCTAAAAAATTTGAGCCCTAAGCACAAGGCTTCAGACCCTTTCGTAGTTGGGAGGATGGTCATACTTGAGGAGCAACTACAGACAGATATGGAACGATATGGATATATGACACAAATGTGAAGTCAAGTAGCCAAACACATGACAGCAGCTGGACACGGGAAGGTGCATGGTGGGAACCATCTTGAGTACAATACATTCGGATACATCATCGTATCTGCTGATGAAAGATACCTTTCGATACCTTTCGCATCTCAAACGACTCTATCCTCCATCTTGCACCCAAAGCAAATGACACGATTGTTTCAGGTTGGAACATATGCGCATCCGGCCCAAGTCTAAACAACGAAGTCCCAGGAACGAAGGTCCCTGAGCGCCACTTGCTCGAGCTGGACCTTTTTACTTTCCTTCACTGCAAGTGCTTGGATGAATCTGAAGCAAATGTCACTTTGCTGGCGTTTTGCTACCCTGGACCCGGTGAGAATTTAGCCATCATGAAGCATCATGCCACATCTGCTGCCGAGATGTGTTTGTAGAAAGTCCTTGTTAGAAGCGGCCGTTTTTGAATGCACGTAGGACAAATGTCAATCAGTTTCACTAGATTGCAAGTCACTCCCATTCAAGCATTTCAAGTCCTCTGCCCCAATTCCGTGCCGGATCTTCTCCTTATTGACATAAACAGCTGCAAGAAAGCCCCGTCCCCCTAGAAGGGAATCTGTCAGAGCCCTGGGTCAGAAAATGTTCTGAAAGAGTCGTTGGAAGCAAGTCTGGCTGACGAGATCACACCCACAGCAAATTCTTGTGAAGTGCCTAAGTGCCTATCTCAAAAACATGAATGCATTTGTATATTTTTTTTTTTAATCGATACTATATTACAGTAATTCCGTGCAATCATAAGCTGTACAGTATCGCAGTATCGCCTTTAATTACAGCCGTAGACAAGGATCCTGCAGCTGCCTCAAAGCACTTGAGGCGTCCATAGGTCGTGTTCGTCTTTGAAAGCTGCTTGGGTGCAAGGCTTTTGGCACAGGAATGTCGCGCCCTCGGGCATTGCTTGAATTGCGCAATAGCAAGCAAACTAATCACGACCGTACAATGGTATGACTTATAACATACTACAGCAATACTACAACAGTCTGCTTTGGAAACTAACATCAAGTGGACTCAAAGCCTGAAACTTTGATGATGCACAGATTCACAACGCCTGTCCAGGCTTTTGGCCTTCAGACAAGGGGCGAAAAGGGCTCAATGGCCCACTGGCAGATCGCAGCAGACCACGAACACTGCCACTGCCCTGGCTCAGTGCAGACGAGCTGGCGGAGCGGCTCCTTGGATGGGCAGTGGGAGAGCTGCCATCAATGCGTTCTGTTCCACTGTGGCTTTGCCATGCTTTGCCCAGGGTTCAGGTTAGATCAGGTTAGGTTGTGAGAATCCAAACTCCAACCTGATCACATCTCGGCCAACATCTAAGAGCGCAGCTCTCAGTGTGGGTAATTGTTTCTTGTTTGAGGCAAGTTGCGGTGGGGCCCGTGAAATAATGTCATCAAAGTGTAGTTGCCTCTCTTCAACTTCTGCCTTGCAGGTGTGAGCTTTTCAAGCACGTGCTGCATTGAAGCAGATACTGAAAAAACTTATGCTTGTCTGTTCCAAGGATCCCTCAACATCATCAATTGATGATCTTGCAGGTGCTGATGCGGAATGAGCAAGGAGGCCAATTCAAAACCGGAATTCAAAGTCACCCAAGATTTGCTCGGCCTGAGCCAAGACTTCAGCTGTAGATGTTTGCACCTCCTTTCATGAAGAATTTGGGGCCAGGAATTGCGAGTTGGCCGTAACTTGCATTCTCTGAAGCGTGGATATTCAAAAGTTGCGGAACAAACTCAAGCCTACTGAGGGGGGGAAGAGTCGGTCCTTCAAAGGTTCCAGCTTCTCTGGCGGGCGCTTGTTCCAACTCTTGTCAGGCCTATTCAACTCAACATACTCAACATAGTCAACTGCCTCAACTGAGGATAATGCAGTGAAGGCAGCATTAGGAAACTTAATCCAATGCTTGAGTTTCAGCATGAAGCAATGGCCACCTTGCCATCGCAAGCATCGCTGATGGTGCTGTTGGCCCGACACGTGGCCGCGGTGCTGGTGCAAATGGAACTCGTGGCCTTGGCTGCAGCCAGGAAGCCAGGAACAGCGAGGAACCCATGACTTGGACATTCACAGGGATCAGAAAAGATTCAGAAGCTGCTTGTTGAACTCAGCCAATCTTGGCATGTCTTGGTCAGCCTTAATCTAAAACGGTGGAGTACATAATAATATCCCAAGGCAACACCCCCGTGCCTGGGAGCTTGGGGGGCCTCAACTCCCTCTGCAGAATCATCCGCAGATTGAGAAAGCTTTGCCTGCCATTCAAAGCGCAAAACGTAGCACTGCGCTTGCGAATCTTGCGAATCGTTCAGTTTTTCAGCAAAGGGGCCTGCCCTTGTTGCTCATTGAGTCATTGAGTGTTTTGTTTTTTGGGGGTCACAGTTGGAGCCGCCTCTTCATCGGACGCCGCCGCTTGCTCCACTGGTAATCCATCAGGCTCCACCTTCGACAGCTGAGCCATGTCATGGTGTGATTCACAAAGACTAGTTTATCATCAAACAATATCAAACATATTCAAACATAAGATTTGTGTCTCCAACATATCAGATCCTCACAGATCTCATCAATTCTTCAGATCCTCTTAGGCATTGAGCCATTGGGAGCTATTCTGATGTGCCTTGTCCAGCTTGGACTGACGCCGTTTTGGCCTGAGATCGGGCTCGCTGGAGTGCCCTGTGGCACTTTTTTGATCAAGAGGATGTCCATCATCCTATTCTGGATGAACCAACAAGCAATTCTGGATCAGTTAGTCATTGAATTCAGTTGATATCAGTTGATCAATTTGATGGTTTAGACAAAGCTGCCAGTGTGCCACCTGTGGTGCGGAGTTTGAACAAAGGCAGTCAAGTTGCCGTAGACGGTGCCCACGTGCATCGTACCGTTGTGCCTCAGTTGCTTCCTTGAGAATTGGTGACTTTGCTGCTGTTGGTGTTGCATGGTTCAGTTCATCACTTGCGACATTCGAATTGTAGCCTTAAAAAGCTTAAGCTGTCACAGACTTGTGTTTTACTTCAACCTGCCAACAGAACATGCTCAATCATGCTCACCTTAGTGTCGAAGCTGGTTTCTTGACAGTAAACACCAGACAAGTTGCAGCTTTCTTGCCTGCTTTCGCTTTCGCCTTTTTCTTTGCCCTGGGCTGGTAGACCTCCTGCAACGAAAGCCTGAGAAACGCAATGCAATGCATCGTCAAATTTGTCAACAACGTCTCTGTCAGCATCATGTGATTGAATAAATCCAATGTAACACAAAAAGGGAAGTAATTTGCCATTGTTTTAGTTGGATGTTACTTTTCTATCATGATATGTCAACATATCTTAGCGTCCAACTCAGGTTCCGCATCTGGCCACTGAGGCGCGGTGCTTTGCAAGTCCTGAACAGCAGTGCCATCGGGACGGCGACAAGAGTGTGAACAACATGTTGAAGCATCTATTGTGACTGGATCACTATAAATGTAATCACTTATTAAAACCCATAATACTATACATATGTAATATGTAGAAACGGGTTAGTAGCCAATACCAACCACAAAACACCCAGGGATACTCGCGCTATTTCTTGAGCCATAGGCACGCCAATAGTTAAGGGTGAAAAGTGTTATATGTACATGTAGACTGTGCAACAACACCCCCCGTGCAGTGTAGGCCTATATACATGGGGTGAAGCTGCAAATTCGTCTAAAGTACATTACGTAAGGGATGCCGTTAACAACATAAACAAACAACCCCAAAAACAAACCCCCAGAAACAAGGCCTTCCTTCCAGTGGGTCTTTCACTTCTCACCTCAGGCGTGCGGAAATTGACAACAAGAGCAAAACTGACAAAGCAAGTCGTTCAGTTGGACATCAAGTGCAATGGTCAACGACTGCAACGAATGTCGATTCGGCCGGATGCATTCAGCTTTAATTTTGGCTCTACCAGGCTTGTGGTCGAACATGCAAACGTGTTGAAGTGTGGCCCATTACAAAGGCCAGCGTTTCCACGCGGCATCAAAAGTTCTTGTGGACGCCCGGGAGCATGCCGAAGCAAACAATATGAATTAAAGCAAAATGCCGAATTCGGTTTGATGTGAACCCGCAGGGAAGCTTTCAGAAATGCTTCAAAGCTGCCTTAACTTCGCAAGGCAAGAGCTTCCGCTCTGCGGTACATGCAACTACCAGCCGTGTGCTATGCAAGAAGGAATCATGGCAAGAATAAGATGAGTGCCAAATGCCTGCTTCAAATTATATGCATTCAAAGCGTTAATGAATCTTTTGTGAACTTGAATAAGTTGGCAAAAATTCCGACTTAGCACACTTGTGTTGGAAATGATGGTGGAATCGCTCACCCACCTGTGCAAAATGAAGCTAGTCGCCTAACCGAATTAAATCCGAAAAGGCAACAGCTTCCGCTGTGCGACACCTCTCATTGAAAGAAACTACCCCGCCTCAGATGAAGATGAATTCACCAGGCGAGAGGTTCCCCTCCGCGGTGCCTCAGCGATAGCCCGACCAACGTCGATCCCGGTATTGGTGGCCTTGATTTCGACGGCGCCAATCTTCCCACTCCTGGTCAGTCCACTGATTGTAGTAGTCGTTCCATTCCTGCTGACTGTAGCCATGAGTGGGCCCCTGATGAGAACCGTATCCAGGACGCGAGGACCTGGTGACATCTGGGTTCTGCTGCCTTGTTGCAGGTAGGGGTTGGCTTCCGCCTTCCGTGTCCTTTGCCTCCGTGAGGGGGCGCAAGATGTTGTCGACATAGCTGAGAATGTCGGCGTACACATCCTGCTTGGACAGCGCAAGGGATTGGAACGTCGTGTTGGCGACGCTCAAGACCTCAAAACGATCGGCCACAGGGATCAAGGCATAGGCGGCCGCGAACTGGTTGGCTCTGTAAAAGCGATTCTTGTACCAGATGAGTACATGATCATCCACGATGATCGTCTTCATCTGTTCCTCTTCGTATGCGACCATGCACATACGCGCTTTGTACTGCCGAATCTTTCCAGTTCGGATCTCCTCGCGGGTGCGTTTGATGGAGGGAAGCACCACGTTGCCCAAAACGGTAATCCAATGCATACACCGAGGTGTAAGGTCTTGGACCGCACAATTGAAGGCGTAGTGGGCGTCCGTTCCCAGACGCTGTAGCAAAGTCAGCCCTGCTTTTCTCGCCTGCTTCATGTATGAGCGGGCGTGATTTTTGAGGACTGCAGCAGCAGATCTGATCTGCTTGGCACCTTGGGTGGTGCCTGCTACATCGTCATCGCCCAGAAGGTCCAACGTCAGCTCGAAGCCCAGCTTCTCGGCCAACTCTTCCAGGCGGAACACCTGACACGCATGACGCATGTCGGACATTGTCGCCAGTGACAAGCCGCATGCGAGGCACACCAACATCCCCTCAGGAAAAATCTTCCTGCACCGGGGGCATGTCAATTCCGGCATTGCCAGCATTGAAACATACCGCCAGCGCGTGAGGTTCCCCTCCGCGGATGGGTCAAATGCCTCCTGATCGAAGCGATCAGAACGGCGTTCCCGCGCGTTGTCAGGGGCGATGTCGAAGCCAGCTGCAGTTGCCGTCGGCTTGCGTGCCACACAGAGGAGATTGGTGAAGTTAAGCGGCCTTTGCTTGATCTTCGGGAGCAACTCATCGACGACGGGATATGGTGTCGGAACTTCCTTGTAAATGAGCGGACGTCGCAGAGTGATGACATCCTTCCACTGGTCGTACTCATTCACGAACATGTTCTTCAACACCTCCAGGTCCGAAATCTCGTACCTTTCAAGTTCGTCGTAGTTGGGAGTGCCCTTCCGAGCCTCGTTCTCTTGCCAAGTGAGAGCGTTCTCGGAGGCCTTCTGCCGAAGGTACTTCTTCACCCCGTTGTAGCCATGGTTCGCCCAAAGGTATTGCGACTTCTCGCAATCAAATGCGTAGATGAGGCAATGATTGGGCACCCAGTCCTCAGTGATGAGTGCACCGGCCAAGGTTTCCACCAGGCGAAGACCATAGTGCAGAGCACAATCGGTGTCGATCGCGATGCACAGCGGTCGGTTCGTCCTGACGCCAGGATCCTTGCCTTCGATTTCCCAAGGCGCATGGCGGGTCATATATACATGACCCTTGCATGAAGTGGCCCCTGGAAAATCCCGTGCAAATGATCTGCTGGAGGGAGTCCCATGAAGTGTAATGGTAAATAACCTTGAACTCTTCTGAGACCTCGGCTTCCGCCAGGTGAGGATAAATGGGGACCCTGGGGTAGAATCCCTTCTTCAAGTCCTCGACCGTGAACTGGTAGTCAAGCGAGATGATTTGCTTGACCAATGGAGCCGTTCCCACCTTGTCGATGAGGGACTGGTCGTGGCCTTGGCAGGCCTTCACGTGGGTGATGCGGTACGGCATGTCCATGGTTGTCAGTTCCCCGACAATTCCCGCCTGAATGCGACACATAAACCTGTCCTGGGTTCGAAGGATCAGGTAAAGGTCCTGTCGCGAAAGCTGGGCACGATGCCGCTTTCTGAGGTACGTGTACATGGACTCAAAGTTCAAGTACAGCTCCTCATCAAATTCAGGAGGAATATGGCGGTGGTGCGCCTCGAGGAACTTGTGGTCATAGCCACGCAGCAGCCCGGTCACCCTCTTGGAAAATTTAAAATCATCATGACCGAGTCTTCCGAGATCCCTCAGGCCTGGCAGGTCAGTACACCGGATGGTGAATTCCCTGCGCTCGCCCGTTCCCGGGGAGAAAAAGTACCACTTGGGATACCCATGTGGTCGCAAGGGCGGTTCAGCCGGAGGCTGAGGTCCACCCGTTCCCGGGGGAGGAGCACTTGCCATAGGCGGCTCCTTCTTGGCCATCTTCGGGGCAGGCTCCGACGAAGACGTAGCTGCAGGTGCCGATGACTTCTGCGGAGGTGCCCTCGGTGAGGTTGTTGTCAACGTTGCAGGCGGTGCCTTGAAAGGCAAAGCTTTGGGCATAGGATGGTCCGCAGCTTCCGCTGGGAGTGCAGGAGGCTCCGGCTTGGGGGATCCAATTGCACTCTTCGGAGTCGGTGGCGGACTGGGCTTTGGGGACGCCATGGGAGACGTTCCCGTCGCCGTTGAAACCTTTGGGAGCCGCGGAGCAGGCTTGGGCTGAATCATGGTAGCCTGATCCCTCATCTTGGGTTTGATGAATTGGCTGACAGTGTCCCCGATCACCTGTGCGATGCCGCTCGAAGATGATGCCGCTTCGGATGAGGAAGCCGCCTTCGATTTGGCCTTCGACATGATCTGGACAGTGGCAGCAGGGTCACCCGCGCGAAGTTTCTCCTCGGCGGTCTTGGGCTCCTCAAAGATCTCCCGTTCCATCTGACGATGCTTCTCCTCATCCGTCAAATCAAAGCGACGAATGATGACCGCACCACTCTCAGTCTGCTGCATGGATTCCTGCCGAAGTTCGAGCTTGGCAGGATCACGTGTGACGTCGGTGTCCAAGATGTTCACTACGCCAGAGCCATCCAATTTGAAGTCCACAGCATGGATCTTGTTCATCAGATGGGAGCGCAGCTTCCGCTGGCTAAACATTGATGCTGAGCCGCCGACAATGGGTTCTCTGAAGACAATCTCCTCGTCAGCGTCCGGCTCGTCAATGTCACGCTCGTCGGAAACACCCGCCAACCGATCCAAGAAGGGCTTGAGGATGGCGTCGATGAGCTCACCATCCATCTCCGGCTCTTTGACCTCATGCGGTTCAAAGTGCTCGGGTTCCCCCGGCAGTGCAGCGTCCACGGACTCCAAAAGTTGCCAGTTCGATGAGGCCACAGTGGCATCATCCTGCACCGTAGGAGCCTGTGCGACTTGTGCACGTGCGGGGTCAACTTCGTTGGGAAGCCGTTGCCCTTTGGGTCGGGTCTCCTTCACATAGATTTCCCAACCGTCCACGTCCATGGAGACCAACACTTCTTCCATCTCTTCCCATTGAGGGTTGTTTTCAGGTTGAGGGTTGGCCAGCGATTCCTCGCGGCGCTTCTTCATCTCAGCCATCTCGACCAAGGCCTTGCAAGACCGAAGCCGAAAAAGGTGATAGCCAAGCGCGCCTGCTTCGGAATAGAACCGAATGCACTGGAGGCGGTTATGCTCCGAATTCTCCATGTGCTGGCCGTCATATCGTGTAGTACACTTGATAAGCGACGTGGCATCGAGGACGCAGAGTCCACGTTTCCTCAAAGCCTCAGCTTCGCGAATCATTTGACGGTCATAATCGGGGTGCAACCCATACCCCCTGCCGTACCATGGCATGATAAGGACGATGTTCCCAACGTCGGCACGTGTCGTCAGCTTCACGAGGTCGTTCAGAGCGGAGAAATGGGTGTTGACCCTTTCCTCCATGAGATCGTTTGCTGCGTCACGGCGCTTCTGGGAGTAGCATGCCATCTCCTTGTCAAGCCAATCACAGTGGAGGAAGCCGTAGTTCCCAAAAATATCGTTGCCAGCGTAGGAGATGACAATGATAGATGGGCGAGAGGTTCCCCTCCGCTGCAAACATTCAAGAGAGTGCTCGACGCCCTTGATGATGTCAGGCAGCCCACGACCCCATTTGAGATCGTGCCAAGGACCGTCTTGCGGCCTGGTGGGAGGAGGTCCGGCTTCTCCTTGATGTACTCGCCGATGTTCCTGCGCGTAGAAGCGTAACCGTCGACCATGTCCACAAGTGCCATCGAAGAATCTCCGGCAAAGATGAAATTGGCCTCAGGTTCCCCTGGGCATACCATGCCTCTGAGCGAGAAGCTGGAAACGCCGTCGAGGAGCTTCGCGTCTGCGGGGCTGACGTCGCGGAGGTAGCCTTTGGCCAACAGCGAATGGTCAGTGTTCCCCATGATGGATGTCAAATCCGAAATCACATCAGCTTCGTTCACCACACGACACTGCGTGACAGAGCCAAAAATGCTCCCAGTCAACGCATACCACGCCTTTCCATTGGGCCCCAAAGTCACATCTTCAGCTGTGGACTCCGGTTCCCCGGGTCGAATGCCAGCAGCCTCCACCGCAGCGGAGTAGTCTGCCTCCTCGACCTCTGCTTCTGGAAAACGACGGAAGTAAGCCATGGTAGATGATGATTTAGAAAGCGAAACAGCGCAGAGTGCAGTAGAAGTCGTCAGTTCGGGTTTTGAGCTGGTCGCTGCAATGAAAGCTCGATGGATCATGTCCGTCATCTGGAAAGAATACGACTCAGTTTCCTTCAAGTCATGACCTCTGCCTTGAACATGGTTATGACTACCATCACATGACAGCCCATCGAAAGCAGTGACAATTGAATCACAATCAGTTTGAATAGCCCATGGTTTCTTTATAGATTCGCCATCTTTGTTGACAATACCAACCATGCATCCATCAAAAGTGACTCTAATGAGCTGATGTTTTCCACAAAACTTCTCAACTCGGTCAAACTTCCAGTAGATGCAATGAGCTGGCCATTCAATTGCAATCTTGGGACTCAAATGACGAATAAGATTGAGAAAATCGACCATTGATGACCATATCTTTTCAAAAACATGTCGATGATATTCAACTTTGAGTTTGGCTGATTCATGTTGCAAGTTCACATATGACCATGTTGTGCCACCAGTACAAGGAATGCTTGTCCAAATCAAAACAGGACAAGGTTGCGCAGTTGAACTCTCAATTGCTCGAACAACTTCATTTCGAATGTCCATTCTGTTCGATCTAGATGTAACATCTCTTTCTTCTGTGCATCTGATGACATAACAATCTTTTGAATGCTTCCTTGACCGATCACCAAGCTTTGAATCAGGTCCACAACAAAATTCAATAAGTACCCTGCTATGAGATGCCACTGAAGGGCAAGCAGGTTCCCCTGCGCGTTGCTGAGATCCCGACACTGTTGAAGGTGCAGGTTCCCCTGCGCAGGCTTTCATCTTCTGTTGCTCCTTCCGCGGAAGGGGCTGTGATGAAATACCCATCAATCGCAGAGCTGATTCCCACTTCTCGGAGTTGGTAAAAGGCTTGGTGAGGATGTCTGCCGCTTGAAGCGATGAACCAACATAGACGAGTCTGAAATGTTTCCGTTTGAATTGTTCAGACAACCATGACAAATTCAGTCTTTGGGTTTTGTCCGTGTGCCTAAATGACGGTGACCTACCACTCTCAAGGATTCGAATGGTTGCTTGGTTGTCCTCAAGGAAAATGACCTCAAGACTACCGGGTCCTGCCATGTACACACTTTCATCCCCCCGCTTTTCAGATCCCGTATAGTTCAAATCAGTTAATGCAGATCTGATTTCCCGTGACTCAACCCCATAATCAACTTCATTTGGTCCAGGAATTCTAAAGACAGTTTTCCCAGTCCATTCGAAATCATAGATCATGTCAGCATCAGGAGTCGTCCAGTCCCATGTCAAATCAAATTCAACATCACCGGTTTTGGTTTTCATGATAGTGTACCTTTGCCTTGCCAATCCCTGAAGGTTCACTGGACAATCCGAATCAATTGGGTTATACAGTTTATTCCGGGGTTTGACATGAACTCTGGTAACTTGGTTGGTGAATGGACTGTGCTCCCAATAGTCATCTTTGGGGTTTTTGGCACGAGTTTCCACTCTGCGGGACGGCCTTTGTTGAGTGCTATCTCCCCCCGCGTGACGTATGACTGACCACAGGCAGGAGGAAGGTAAACCAACAGCACGCAACGCAAGGTTTGCCGCCGTGACTTCAGCCTCTGTCGATGACATAGCCGTTGAAGTCTGCTTCTTTGAAAAAGCTGTGAGTGGATAAAACGTGTTTGGTCCTACCAAAGCAAGGAGGCAACCACTTGTAGATCTGTTGTCATGTTCCCCAGCATGATCTGAATCTGCAAACAACCATGTTTTGCAAGCCTCAGGTGGATCCCCAACGAAACCAACCATTGTACGATCAAGGGTTGTGTGTATGTAACACATTAATCGATGAAGACTCTTATCGCAATCAGGTGACCATTTTGTAACCCTACTTGCTAAACCCTGAGTAGCACGGAGAAGATCGAATCTAGCCATTCGTGCTGCGAACAGCACTTTCATCAACACACGTGATGCAATGGGCTGGAGTTCCCCCCGAGCTTCTGCTTCGTCCATAATGGGACGTGCAATTTTGTCATCTGGGAAAGGAGTTGAAACTTTCTTGAACTTAACATTTGGTCCTGCTAGTTCAACGTAGCGGTCAAGACATTGTTGTAAGAATTGTCGCATGTCATACTCGACCGTGTTGACATTCTTTGTCATGCACTTGGATTTATGTTGCTCAAGTTCATCAAGAAAAGTAAATCCTTGTGCCCTAGCCGCTTTCTTTGCTCCCGACTTGTCTCTTATCTTCTTAGCAGCTGCCAAAACTTTTGAGGGTTCTTTGATTGATTCGTCCACGAAGTAGGTTGATCCCGTCCACCAAAATGGAAGTCCAGTTGGGTTTTGAGATCCCATATCATGAACATATTCTTTGGGTTCATCTTGGGTTTGACAAGGTTCACACACGGTTAGCCGGTGCGTTCCCGCCCGGAAGGATGTATCGTCCTTCGGCTTGTCCTGGAACTTCTTGCGAGGTTGCAGGTGATGATGAACACAAACTCCAAGCTCTGGCATGTGCTCCCAGTAGTCCTTTGTTCGGCAGGCCGGACTGGCTGGCTTACTAGAAGGATCCGGGATGCTAGCATCGAAGACATGAGCAAATGGGTGAGCACTTACATCAAGCTTGACATTCTGTTTGAAGACATGTTCGCATCCAAGGTATCTTCCGGCATCTTCAGGAGTATCCATGTCGATTTGAGAAGAAATCAACTTCCACCCCTCGTCAATGTTTTTGGATGGTCCTGACATCTTGAAGTCATCAACATATACACCAAGCAATAACTTCAATTTTGGATGCCAAAACATTGAAGGCCAACATTCAGGATAGAGTGGGTGGAATCCAACTGCATAAAGTGCTTTCTCACAATGACGTTGCCATTGACCCCCCGAATCAGGGTGACCATACAATGCCAAAATAAGAAGAACAACCGGATCTTTGTACACACCAATCCATTCCTTCGGCCAACGGTTTCTTGGTAGTCTGATCCAAGTTAAAATTCCTTGCATCAACGCTTGGGTGTAAGCTTGCTTACCATCACCTTGTGATGTCCGGTTCCCCGGCATGGAGCCATAAGCATCTAATGCTTTTCCTGCCTCCATGTTGGCCGGTGAACTTCCGAGCTCCGCGAACAAAGCAACATCAGCCGCCTCGTCCTTAACGTTGTTTCCTTGGAAAACGGTGCGACCCTTAAACTTGCGCATGGGGTCACCCTGCGGTAGCTCACTTCCCTTCTCGACACATATCTCGAAGATCTTGCCTACGTGAACTTTTGTCTTGTTCTTGATGGCTTCCCTTGAAACATCATCCCATTCCCTTACCGTGGAATAATCCCATGCACCCTTATTTGTAAGGTTATTCCATTCCTTATCGAGTGCAGCTTGGGCAGCCGGAGTGTTGTTGATCTCCTTCTGTCCAACGGGTCTTGCCACAAGTGCATTGGAGTAATGAAAGCACATAAGCTCTGATTGATCCTTAAGCTTGTCTCTGTGGCAATGGTTTCCACCATGCGAGCCCCCCGGATTGTAGGTGACTGGCATTGCGGGAATGAAATCATCTGATGATTCGTTACTCTTGGATTCTTTGACAGCTGCCTCTTTCAACAAGGCTTCACGTTTGGCCCTTTCTCTAGCCGCTTTAGAGGCCCCCCGCCAAAGAAATGTTGGAATGTCCTTGGGTTTGGAGGAACCTTTATATCGTCTTCCCTTAAAACCACTAGCATCGTAGTATGAAGGGTCATCCTTTGAGATGAATTCTGACTTTCCAGTTTTGGGGTCAATCACTTCGATGTCATCAGATTCAAGTCCAACTTCACGCATCATCTGTTCAAACTCCTCTTCGCCCTCCACCGGTCCTGGCTCAACAGCTTTCCTTGGGGCAACCAAGTCTTCAATTGTTTGAGCATCCATCTTCTTTGGATCTGGTGGAGCATCAAGGCTAAGAGATTCGTATAAACCTTCCCTAATGGCCTTGTATCTACCTTTCAAAGGAAAAATGAATGGCCCATCAGGTACAGTGAGTTGATTGACACCAACAACTTGGACAGATTCGTTAAATTCCTTCTCCATGAGGTCCTTCAACGATGCTACAAGAAACTCATTTCTCCAAACGAAACCTGGTTGCATAGCATATCCCAAAAAGACACCTGGATTTGAAGTTGGGTCAAAACGCAAATCCTTCTTGGGTTTAAGTTTCGGTCCAGTCCAATAGTCAATGCGAGCCCCAAAAGGAATGTTGGGTCCCTTGAACTTTTCCCCAAAACGAAGCTCCCAGGGAGATAAGATTTCAGGGTGGTCCTGGATGTTGTGTGCCATGCACCAATGTCGTGCAGCATAACTCCAATAGGAATGGTGAAGCCCTGCCTGTTCAAGGTTCACTCTAGTCCCTTCAAGTACGGACCTGAGATTCCTCTCGGCGACTGCGTTCGACTTAGAGACATAAGCAACACTAGTGTTCTGCCTCCACCCAACTTCCCGACAAGCGAGCTTGATGGATGGCGCTGCATCGGAATAAAACACTCCGACTTCTTCACCAGGTGCAATGAAATGCCTAAAAGCTAAAACACAATCCTTGGCATGACTTCTAGCTGAAGGATAAATCCATCGAAAGTTCGTAGCGACATCTTTCATGACCATAGCAACCCTGTCACCATCAATTGATTGTTCGTTGGCATCCCTAGTTACAAGATGGTCCCCAGTGATGTGATCCCCAAACTTGTTGGATTCCACAGTCAGCGATTCCCCTTTGCTACGTTTAGTTGGTTTGTACATCTTTGCACACTTGCATGTTTCACAAAAAGGATTCTTTGGGGTATGTGTCATCATGTGCCTAAGGGTTCTGGCCTCTTCTCGAAGTGCAGCTTCACCACGATCGATTGGTTGAGGTTCAGGCAGTTGAAGTCGACCGTCAACTGGTTCTTCAGGAGCTTCGGCTTCATCTTCCGAACCCACATCGCCTTCTGGCGTCATGGCTGCTGGAGGTCCTGGCGCAAGTTCACCAGGGAAGAACTCCTCGAGACTATCGTCACCACGTCCAGGAAGTTCATCGTCGTCTGCGATGGAAGCCTCATAAAGTTCTTCGACCTCTTGGACTTCGTCCTCAGACTCAGTGCCGACAGCTGATATGCGAGACCTTCGAACAGGTGAGATGATAGGCTTGCCGTTCCCGGCAGCGGAGTCCCATGAAAACGGAATTCCTACTGCAGCGGGTACCTGGCCATCTCTTGATGGTAGATAAGGAACAAAATCTTTGACTTCAAGTTTGATCTTAGTTCCATCTTTCTTCTTGAAATATGGGCGACTAAAGCTTTTCCAAACAAAATCCCATCCGTCTTGAATACATCTCATCCCTACCGATATTACAGCCGGGGTATCAGGAAGAACATATGGATGAACTTCTTTGTCGATGCAATCAATATGAACAGAAGCTTGTTGGTCAGCTGATTGAGAACCATTTGCAGTGATTAATTCAAGGGGTTCATGAGAGTGATACACAATGTCATCGGGAATCATCTTGCTGCAAACTAAGTCCTGGGCACTACCGGTGTCAGCGATCCATGCGATTTCAGCAGATGCATTACGCTGCTGAGAAGGCATGTGTCCTGGCAATGCATTCAAATCGGAACGGATGCAGTGGCGACAGCCGATATCACTGTCACATTCAAAGCTGCATTTGCAAAGTTTACCATGCAACTCCCGAAAGACAGCTGACTGCAACATCTGTGCTGCAAGTATTGCATCACTTTCTCGTGCTTCGATCGTATCTTTACGAGTACGATCGTCCTTGGTGATGCGAACTGGATTGAAAGTTCGTTGTTTGGCTTGGCACGGATGCAAATTACAATTTTGCTCAATGGGAACTTCGAAGATTTCATCGTTGCCCCCAAATGAAACAGTGCGATTGGGTGTAACTGGCATGGCAAAATGCTGGTTGAAACAATGCGGAGAGGCGATGCCTTCCGGCACGCGATGAGTGCTGGTCGAAGGGTTGACGACTGCGACCATCATCAGAGCGCGCATCAGGCAAACTGCAGCTGAGCCAGAGGAAGATGGTTTTCCCCCTTTGTCCTTGAGACTCTGTGAGCCTCTCGAGGAATTGGAACCTCGGCTTGACGATCTAGAGCGATCGCCCTTCTTCTTATTCTTCTTCTTCTTTTTCTGGCTCTTTCCACGCTTGTCATCTTTGGCAGATGCAGCTGCAGGCTTCGGTGGGTGTTGGAAAGCACAGTCATTACCTCGTTGACACTTACCTGCCTTCCAAAACTTACACACTTGGTTCCTAGATCCTGGAGACAAAGATCGACCATCGCCCCTTGACTTGGATCTAGACTTGCCTTTCTTACCTCCGCCTTTTCCTTTGTCTGCCTTTTCATGTTTATATCGGCAATCCTTTCCCCTGGTACACTTGCCAGCCTGGAAGTCGTAGCAAATGCCAGTGGGCTTTCCCGCGGATGGCGGCCTCGTGGGTGCTGGCGTCGCATCTCTTTTGCCTGAAACGGACTTCTTGGTAGCCTGGCGCATCTTCTCAAGACGTCTCCTCTCAAGGTAGTCCCTCGCAGCTTTCATGAGAAAATCATAAGAGCGGTTGGGTTCCCCCTCCGGTGTGCGATCATACACAGCCAGATCATGAGAGAGAGGCTTGAAGTTCTTGATGGCGTTGTGAAAGTAGGCTTGCTTCCACATCATGTCAGGCTCGGAAGTCATTCCAGCGATCACAGCGTCCCATCGAGTGATGAAACCTCTGAGATCATCATTGACTAAGGTAACAGCCATGAGGTCCTCAATGTCATACACTGCACCATGCTTTCTACTTGTACTGAAGTGTTTATGAATCATGAGCAATGCTTGACGTCCCCTAGCTGGTGTCCCTGACTTGGCTTGTTCTTCTTTAAAGATGTCAAGTTGCCGTGCAAAGTCCCCTTCGCAGATGTTGGTGAGCGAAGACATGAGCTTTGCGTCCAGGGTCACGAATTTACCTGAGTCCTTCAAGGCATCGACAGACTGATCTGTCCTGAACACTTCTTCTACCCACTGAAAGGCTAGGTCGGGTTTAGCAGAAGCAGCAATTATGGCATCCCTTACTCGGATTCTCCAATTCCTATAATTTTCGGGTTGAGGGAACTTAGGTACTAGGATCCTATCAGACTCTTTGGCCTTAGTATCAGTAGTCCTAGAACGCTCTAAGGCCCTTTTGGCCTTTCGTGCAAAGGAACTCTCAGAATCCGAACTTGACGTCGTAGGGGATGTTGATGATGAAGGTGAGGATGAAGGATCTCTTCGTCGTCGTCGTCTCGATCGGCCACGACTAGCCTTGCGATCCTTCTTCTTGTCTTTCTTGTCCTTGCGACCTCTCTTGTCGTCATGGTCATCATCACCATCGTCATCTCCTGGAGGTCCACCGCCGGGAAGTCCCGGTGGCTTCGAAGGTTCTGCCTGAAAATGCTCATCGTCAGCATCTGATGAATGCTGAGGCTTCTTGCTTCCCGAAGCTAACTCCTCAATGGTTGGACCCTTGGGCTTCGAGGATTGTGGAATGGGTTTTCCGGGACCGTAATGGATCATGAGTCCAGGAGTTCCCTCCAGAGGTTGAGACTTTAGATTCCGGATGAGCTCTCTCTGCTCCTTCCGAAGCTTCTCAATCTCCGCCTCGAAGTCCTTCTTCTGAGATTCAGCCAACTTCTGCATGTTCAAAGCGTGTTGATTCATTGCATCAATCTGAGTGCGGTACTCGGCAAGTTCTGAACGTGCTGCCTGCAGATCAGCATTGGACTTCTCCGCAGACGATGTCAAGACACCTGCATTGTTGACCACATGAGTCAGTTCGGCACTCAGTTCCCTGATGCGATGATCCTGCGCTGTGACCTGCAGTTGAGCAGATTTCTGCTCACTCATCGCCTGGGCGGCCTGCTCGTTCAACAAAAGGTTTCTCCTGGAAATTTCTTCGGCTGCTTGTTGTTCGACGCTTGCAAGTTGATCTCGAGCTTCACTCACAAGCTCCATACGTTGACGTTCCATGACCTCAGAGTGGCGCACGTTTGCCTCACTCTGCCATGCCTGCTGCTGAGCAGCCATAAGTTGGTTCGCCAGGTTCGGATCAATACCCTGTTGTACCACTGCCACATTGGCGGTACGCTGATCAACACTGTTAAAGTTGATGGTATTGAGCTGACTGATTTCAACGCTTGAGTCCAAGACACCTGGCATGTTCCTGCGTGGATCTTGACGGCATGGGTCAAACTCTTCATCCAAGTAACTCATATCACCTTCTGTTGTCGTAGCCGCTCCTGAGTGGATCACCACTTCCTCCGGTTGTGACGTGTTCGCCAGTGCTAGGGCAGCCGTGGCGTTCCCGCCCGGGGCAGGCAACGCAGGGGGATTTGACATGGCGAAAACCTAGAGGAGAAAGAACGAAAAGTGTGAAACAAAGGAAACCAGCGATCGCTTAGCGATACGGCTGATAACCTGTAGAAACGGGTTAGTAGCCAATACCAACCACAAAACACCCAGGGATACTCGCGCTATTTCTTGAGCCATAGGCACGCCAATAGTTAAGGGTGAAAAGTGTTATATGTACATGTAGACTGTGCAACAACATAATATATAGACACTAAATAATGTGTGTAAGTATGCACACACAAATGTATATTTATATAGAGAGAGAGAGACCAATTCATATATGTTTCAATGATCGCGTGCGTGTCAAAATAATATTCAAGCCAGCAACCCGATATACCATGATGATATAACCAATCAACATTGAAGGTCACTAACTTACAGAAACTGCAGCAGCTCAATGACCTTTACCGGCCTGTCTGCCAAGTGCTGCTAGCATCCTGGTAAGATTCTGTCACGTTCTGTCCATCCGTTGCCACATTGAGCCAGGGCTCTGCAAACTGAGGTTGGCCGATGCGGGCTCCAGGTGTTACCACCTGGATTTCTGTACGTTCAGAAACGTGACCGTGATATACCGTGATAGACCGTATCAGGATAAAATGTGCAAATGTGGAACAAGTCCAACCGACATGGACCGACATTAACATAATTAACATTATCAAAATACTAATATGCTAATGTGGAACACCTGCATGGCACTGTCTCACAGCTGGCTGAGAAAGGAACACCAAGATGCCCCAACTGCCGTTAGTGAGTCAAGTTGCTGCCATGCCGTTTGGGTGGCCACCATCGCTTCGCGAATGGTTCGTCACCCTTTAGGAAAAGAAACAGCCATGAATTGGTGAGCCCCTTCCAAACGGTTGAAGTTGGAAAAATGACGTTGCATTGGTGTCTTGTTTTAAAGTTGTGTTTGCTCTGTCTATGTACATCTAATTCTGTTTTTGACACCATGCACTTTTGCAAATGTGGGCTAACTTGAGCTAACGCTGGCAGACGCGCATGGGATCCTATCTCGGATGGAGCTCCAGGTAATGCAATAGCAGGTAGTTACAATCACAGCCATGGCCATATCCATTACTGTACTTTCTTTAGATTCCAAGTTGCAGGCTTCCACTTTGGTCAGTCTTATGTGACATCCTTTCCCTGGTCCAAACTCCAGACGGTCAGCCTGAGGAACACACTGCAAAGTTAGGAGTTGCCTACTTGGTGAGCCGCTCTGGCCAGTCTGGACTTGCATCAACATACAATGCTTGACCTGCCAAAATGTTTTCAGCAAGGAGCACCCTAATGCAGAATACAGTGCGAAAACATGCGAAAACAACATCACAATTCACTCGGCTACCTAACTAGTGTCGGCGATTCTGGCAACGGCTGTTGGGGCAGATTTTGAAGCTCACCTGCACTGGGCATGAGACTCGCATCCCAAAGCTCTGGCCTGCCAAACTGCCAAGGCTTGTCCAAAGAAGTAGGAGGGAGAGTACCTGACGTGCGAGCAAGCAGAAGCATTCAGGCGGGAAGCGTGAGGGTTGCAGGCCAAAATGCTCCAATATGCTCCAATCAAACATCAGAAGGAATCTCTCCTCTGTTCCTGGAGAAGGCAAGCCACTGGATCATCTGAAAGAGGGGTTCTTCAGACATGAACAGGTACTCCAGCAGAACAGAAGGTATGACAACCTCCGGGCGATGGGGAATGGGCCATGACTTGACACGGCGTAGGCCCCACATAGGCCCCTGCAGTCCCTGATATACACTGCACTGAGCTTCAGGCAGTAGTGGCCTGAAGCTAAGACACTTTGAAACACTTTCAGTTGAGAGTATCTAACTGGCTCTCATCATAATGTCATCATAATGCGAAATGCTTCGAAATGGGTCAAACATGGTATCACTGACAGTTTAGAGTTTCTAAGCCGAGTTGCAACTGTGAACATGGTCCAAATCACGGAGTTGACGCTTCCCTTCAGCACTGTGTGCATCGGATACCAACCCAGTGTGTAGACCTCGGCTGCAGCTCAGCACATTTTCCCACCCTTGGTGAGTGCCTTGGAACCTTGGAATCTGACAGCAAGAAGGCTGAACCACCAGCTGCATGGCAGGTATGGAAAGGTTACCTGACAGCTCCCGTGCCCAGCAGGTGCTGATTATCTGATTTGTGCTGCGAGTTTGGGACTCAACTGAGGAGTTCCCCCGTACAAAAGTTTACCAAGTGTTACAACGTCCTTCCCCACGCATGTGATTGCAGATGCACATAACGAAGGGTGCGACGGCTTCACCCCAGCCATATCAGCCATGTCCTATCTACACAATCCCCAAAGAACCAAACACCTTCCCCTACTCCGCTTGCCTTGCGCGATTCAAAGGCACCACTGATCAAGAAGAACTGCGCCTTGGGAATTCAGGCAGTGACACTCCTGATGTCTCTGACACATCTCTCCCTCTCCCTCTCTCTCTCTCTCATTCACACTCGACTCTTACTCTCACTTTTTTCATTGCGACTCTTTCTCTCTTCATTTTCAAGCTTTTTTTTCCCTTCTGCTGTCGCAATTCGTAATGACAACACTTTTCGGACTGGGGATCCCTTCCGTGAAGCTGCTCCAGTCCCACGCACTGTAGGAAAAGAAGTAGGTGGCCAGGAAAATCAGGCTGATGGCCTCACCGCCAATGCACCACATCCCTGGGGTTGAATCATTCGATGCCTGTACTCAATGCAAAAGTTGCAATTTTGGAATCATTGTCAATGGTCAATGCTTGTCGTATTTTGGCATGTTTCTTTCAGCACTGACAGATTTCCCGCAAAGCCGGCGGCAGACTGAGGTGCCGAGCATAGTAAGGGTACCAGGCCATGATGCGAACAACCTGGGGGCTCTTCACCAAATGAAGCTGCTAAAGCAACTGCTGGCTGAATCACATAGGGGCTGGCTTGATAGATCATCATAGATCTTGATATTTATGATTCATTATCTATGCATCCCCTTGGGACTTCCTATGATGCTGTCTCTAATACGGTAGTATCCTATTACTGGTAGTATCATCTCCTATATCTCCTATGGCCCCAGCGAAAGCAGTGATGAAATCCTCTTCCAGCTGCGCCTCACGGCAAAAGCACACAGTTTTCAGTCCACAGCTTTCAGTTTTACAGACCTGCGCATCTGCAAAGTGATCGATCTTGTCTTTCACGTCCCAAGCATGATTCAATGATGGCGCTACAGAACGGCCCCCAAACACCCAGCATGAAACCATTCATCGTATATTGGCTGGTGAAAGTGCAGGGTTCGGATCTACAGTACATAGTAAAGCACTCTTTGAGTTGATGAAGCTGCCTGCCGAGCGTCAAATTGCTGCTATTTTCTATCCAAAGCAGACTGACATGGATGCGAAGCCGCAGCTGTCAGTGAAAATGAGCGAGGGGCGAGGGGTATCACAGTGGCCCCTTTGAGGCGGCTCCCACATTGCCCAAGTGGCAGAATTACCCTCATGATGGAAAATACCCCGCTGACGTCAAAGGGTATCAAGCACAACAAGCTTCGAACAGGCTAGGTCTCGAAGCACATTCAGCCCAATGGGAGGGTGCAGTGACTTGAAAACGTGTGCCTCTGCCGTTTCAACAGCCTCCACGAATGGATTGTACAGTGAAGATCAGCGAAGGACATACACTGATCAGGGTGATCCTTAAATCAAGGCAAGAAAGGACTTGCAGCAACGACTCCGCCATCATGCCGTGATTCTTGAATCAGTCTGTGTCCCAAATGCAATTCAACACCTAGCCAACGTGACTGTCTTCACCGAGCCACAGGATCAGCCACCTGCATGTGGTCCATAGTCCGGGGGCAACGGTGGCAATTTGTCCACCTGCTCCACTGGTAACTCCCAGGCCAGTGGAAAGTCACAATTCAAGCCATCCTTGGGTTTGAAACCATCCCCCAAGTACGTATGAAATATCTATAAAACCGTTTACTAAAACCACCAGCCAGCAGGAAAAAGAATCTGAACTGTGCGTTCCGCCGCACCTTCCTCCAGGAAAATGGCACCACTCCCATGACCAGCGGTGCAACGCCCAGCGCCAGCCCAGCTGAAGCTGCCAGTGCAGTAGCAGCATTGGCCTCCACATACTGATACCATTGAACCAGGCAGTAAAGGCCCTTGGTTCATACAGGGCTGAAAGCTGTGCACAGTGCCTGTTTCAACCCATCAAACAATACAAGTGCTAAGTGCAGAGAACTCTACCTGTCTGGTGCTTGGGTCATGGGTCGGCTTCGTTTTACGCACAGGCATTTAGACGAGGGCAAACGGGCCGCAAGTCGCAAGGTTTCCGAAATGATGTGCAATCATGTAATCATGTTGACTTTCGCCCGATACTATCGCAGCAAAGCAGCTAACAAACTTTGAACGCCTCAGGGTTGCGAGGAGCTGGCAATTCAGCTGCAGACTGCGCAATTCAATTATCGCTTTTCAATACTCATCCAATAGTTGAGCCAAGCAGCGCAAATGGAACTTCATGATTTCGAAGCGCTTTGAGAGAGCGTCATTGTTAAGAGTGGATCCTGCTCAGCAGCAGATTGGCAAGATACGCTGTTGTCATCTTCACAACCTTCAAGACCTCTACCCCTCTGCATCAATGACAATGTCGGGAAGTCTGTTCTGTAGGAGCAAACCCGTCTGTCTACTAGATACTGTACCGGCGGCTCTGCCATCCTTTCAGCTTCAAATACAGCCGGAGCTGAGTCTTCATGTGATACATTGTGATACCATACCCCCCTCATTGATGTTCCAAATCCATCCAAATCCTTGGATGATCTTGTGGAAAATCTTGGCCACAACTGGGTTCCTGTGAAAGCCTTCCCTGCCCTGACCTGCAGCTGCACACTCTGCCAAGATGGCCACGCGATTGACGGCAGTGCCCAAGGCAAAGTTTGCGGAGCGGATCATATTCAAACTGCGGCCGACAAAGAGCAACCTTAGACGCAGCACAAGAAAAGAACCACAACTCATTGGAAATTTATTGAACTTGGCATGCTGAAGGCCAAGTCATGCCTTGAGGTGTGGTCATGAGTTGGTTACGATTCACTTGATCTCCTGGCTCCTAGGTCTTTTCACTCCACCTGCCGGTTGATTCCTGGATATTTCTGGTTGGATCTTTGTTCAACGTCCCAGAGCCTGGTTCATTCTGCCAAGCCACTCTCGCGGAAATGCGCTGGTGTCACCCAAGATCTTCTTGGCTCGAGCCTTCAGCTGTGTTTGTGCCTGATGAGACGAAGAAATGGGGGTGTCCGTAAATGGGGGTATCCCAATAGCTGGACGGATTATAATTTATTATGGAAAACCCTACGTATCAATATGGATGATTGGGGGTATCCCCATTTTAGATAAATGGATAGATCATGATAGAGCAATGCCACCTGTCTTTGTGTATCATGTTGAGGTTTTGACATGTGTTGACATGTTTTCGCGTCAATGCAGGAACATGTTGCATCCGGACCACGTCCGAAATGCAAGCTGCAGTCAAACAGAATAAACACACAGGTACTTTCTGGTGTAACGATTCCATCCAGAGCTAGAATGGCTCGCACAAGATGGTCGTCTGACTCATCCACTGCACAAAGTCAGTCCGGACTCACTTTGCCGCAATGAATAGGTTTGATAGTCTCCAACTGAAGGCAAAACAAACTCACACCGTCCACCTCAGCCAGTTGCTTGGGGGTCATCTTTGCCCTCTTGGTTTTCACCTGCAGCAACGCTTGCAGTGCAAATGTGGTTTTGAACTACAGGCCTTGCAAGAGATAGTCCCCCGATTTCTCTTTACACTTACCAGCATGCTCAAAGTAGTACCGAATGAATGTAGTTTCATCATTGATGTGCATGCATGCACGCGGGTAGGTAGTTTGGCCAGTTAGGTGTGGCAAGGAGTTAGACAAGGAGGTATCGTAGTAGGTTTGTACGTAGGGATACGAATTTGCAATCGTGCACATTATAGATTCGCTGTCAATGTGTCAATATGCCATTATCTATCTATCTATCTATCTATCTGTCTGTCTGTCTGTCTGTCTGTCTATCTGTCTGTCTATCTGTCTATCTGTCCATCTATCTATCTATCTATCTATCTATCTGTCTGTCTGTCTGTCTGTCTATCTGTCT